TGTTGCTTTTGTCTTCAGTGCAAGTCTGGTGGACCAAATTGTGTTGGATGTTGCCATAAAACGTATACTTAAATGAACATGCACATCTCTTCCCATGATGGACCTGGCAGATGTCCCAAGAACAGGCAAGTGGAATGCACAAATGTATTTTGTGTTTTGGTACTGGCTGAAATTTTGTGCTTGTCTGACTGCTGCTTTTATCTTCAGTACCAACATGGTGGACCAAATTGTGTTGATGTTGCCGTAAAATGTACACTCAAAATTGAACAGACACTTCCTTTCTTTACCCAGGCCGACACCCTAAGAGCAGATTGGTGGACGACACAAGTATATTTTGAGTTGTGGTACTTAGAAATACTCTTGTGGTCGTCTGTCAAACTGTTGCTTATATCGTCAGTGCACGTCTGGTGGACCAAATTGTGTTGGATGTTGCCGAAAAACGTATACTCAAATGGACAGAGGCATCCCCTCTTTGATGGACCAGGCAGGTGCCCCAAGAGCAGTTTGGTGGCAAACACTGGTGTTGTTTGAGTTGTGATACTTAAGAGTCATTTGTGGTTGTACATCAAACTGTTGCTGTTGTCTTCAATGCAAGTCTGGTGGACCAAATTGTTTTGTATGTTGCCGTAAAACGTATGCTCAAATGAACAGACGCATCCCCTTTTTGATTGACCGAACTGATGTCTCAAGAACAGGCATGTGGAATGCTCAAATGTATTTTGTGTTGTGGTACTGGCTAAAATTTTGTGCTTGTCAACCTGCTGCTTTTGTCTTCAGTACCAGTCTGGTGGACCAAATTGTGTTGGATGTTTCCGTAAAAACTTGTACTTATAATTAAACAGACACATCCTTTCTTGACCCAGACAGACACGCTAAGAGCAGATTGGTGACAAACAGGTGTATTTTAAGTTGTGGTTCTTAAAAGTCATTTGTGCTTCTCTGTCAAACTGCTGCTTTTATCTTCAGTTCCAGCCTGGTTGACAAAATTGTGTTGGATGTTGCCATAAAACGCATACTTTAATGAACACGCACATCTCTCCCCTTGATGGACCAGGCAGATGCCCTAAAAACAGAATGGTGACAAACACAGGTGTATTTTGCGTTGTGGTACTTAATGCACGTTTGTGGTCGTCTGTCAAACTGTTGCTTTTGTCTTCAGTGCAAGTCTGGTGGACCAAATTGTGTTGGATGTTGCCGTAAAACTTTTACTGAAAATTGAACGGACACATCCCTTCTTGACCCAGGCAGACACGCTGAGAGCAGATTGGTGACAAACACAGGTGTATTTTAAGTTGTGGTACTTAAAAGACACTTGTGGTCGTCTGTCAAACTGTTGCTTTTGTCTTCGTCTGGTGGACCAAATTGTGTTGGATGTTGCCGTAAAATGTATGCTCAAATGAACAGACGAATCCCCTCTTTGATGGACGGAACAGGTTTCCCATGAACAGGCATGTTGAATGCACAAATGTATTTTGTGTTGTGGTACTGGCTATTTTGTGCTTCTCTGTGGAACTGCTGCTTTTATCTTCAGTTCCAGCCTGGTGGGCCAAATTGTGATGTTGCCGTAAAATATACTCTCGAAATTGAACAGACACTTCCTTTCTTTACCCAGGCCGACACCCTAAGAGCTGATTGGTGGACAACGCAAGTATATTTTTAGTTGTGGTACTTAAGAATCATTTGTGGTTGTACATCAAACTGTGCTTTTGTCTTCAATGCAAGTGTGGTGGACCAAATTGTGTTGGATGTTGCCGTAAAACGTGTACACAGATGAACAGATACCCCCCTTTTTGATGGACAGAACAGATGTTTATGTGAACAGGCATGTGGAATGCACAGATGTGAGGCAGCGTGGTGGAATCAGGCTCTCGTCAAAATAATCAAAGTGAAGAAACTTGCTTTTTCTGTTGGTTTGCGAATTTTTATCAAATTTTGTTTTTTGGCTCAACACCTTTCATGCCCATTAAAGAACTCATTTCTGTGTGGATTTTTCTGAAAAACGTTGATTAAAGGCACAAAAAATGTACATTTTCAGTTACGACGGACTCTAAAGATAAGGGAATAACTTATCTTTGGCAGCCATTTTCTAGCTAATTTTACCTCTGAAAACAGGTGACTCCTACCTCCTTCATTTGCAAATATCTCAACTTGTGTTAAAGATAAATGGATATTTTTTAATCCAAATAAACACAAGTGAACAAGCTTTAAGATGATACCAATAACTCTACATGCTCAAAAATTGATGAGAGCCTGATTCCACCACGCTGCCTCACAAATGTATTTTGTGATGTGGTACAAGCTGAAATGTTGTGCTTCTCTTTCAAACTGCTGCTTTTATCTTCAGTTCCAGCCTGGTGAGCCAAATTGTATTGATGGTGCTGTAAAATGTTCACTCAAAATTGGACGGATACATCCCCTCTTGACCCAGGCTCTCACCCTAAGAGCAGATCAGCGACTAACACAGGTGTATTTTAAGTTGTGGTACTTAAGTATCATTTGTGATTGTACATCAAACTGTTGGCTTTTGTCTCCAATGCAAGTCTGATGGACCAAATTGTGTTGATGTGGCAGTAAAACTTGTACTCAAATGGACAGACACATATCCCCTCTTTGATGGACCAGACAGATTCCCCAAGAGCAGATTGGTGGCGAACACAGATGTATTTTGAGTTGTGGTACTTAAAATTAATTTGTGTTTGTTTATCAAACTATTGCTTTTGTCTTCAATGCTGTAAAACTTGTTTTCAAACACGCCCCTCTTTGATAGATCGGGCGTTTGTTGCAGGAGTAGCTTTGACCGAAAACTCTGACGGGGACGGAGAGGTGGTAATCCACATATATTTTGTTTTCCAGTCAACCTGTTACATGTGTGTCTTCAGTGCAAATTTGGCAAACCTGACTGTGTTGATGGTGTCGTAAAATTTCATCATCATCATCCGGTGCTAGATCTGCGACAGACATTGGCGATCATGATTTTCCATTCATTCCTTTGCTCGGATGCTCTCAGAAAAGCTACGTTTCCCTGATCTTTTCCTGTTACCCATTTGTTTGGGTTCCCTAAGTATGTTGTTCTGGGCCTACCCCTGCCTCGCTTGCCCTCAATTTTGCCAGTGAGAGCTAAATGTTCAAGACCCTTATGTCTACTCAGGTGTCCCAAAAACTGCATTTGTCGTTTCCTGATTGTTTTTAACATCGTAAAACTTATGTTGTCAAAATTGTCCTAGAGGGCCAGTGTTTGGAGTGTAACAAGTGTTTGGAGAAAGCATGCTCTTGCGTCGTTGTGCGGGTGGTTGAAGGGTGCTGCTACTGGAAAGCCCTAGTCATTAACTTCCCCTCTCTGTTGTTGTTTCGTCTTACTTCTTCCTTGCACTAAACGACCGTGTAATCTCTCTTTGTGTGTGTGTGTGTTTGCTACTCTCTTGTAACTGTGGGTGGTTGGCAGGTGCTCTGATGTGGTTTGCTTCTTTCCTATCAATCTATCGTCCTTATCTCCCCTTCTTCTTTTTTTATGTTTGTTACTCTCTTGTAACAGCTCTAATCTTCTGGCGCTCATATGACCTTATGCAGTTGCGAGCGCCGTAAAACCTCTACTATAACCACTCTTGTAACACTTCTAATCTTGTTGGTTAGAAGTGTTACAAGAGAGTAACAAAACACAAAAAAAACCCAGCAAAAAATCTTCTAATCTTGTGCGCCGTAAAAACCTCTACTAAAACAAAACAAATCTTGTGGGTGGTTGGTGGGTGCTGTGGTGGGGTTTGCTCTTTCTTTCCTTTCAAACGTCTATCGCTGTTATCTCTTTCTTTTTTGTTTTTGTTACTCTCTTGTAACACCTAGTCTTAAGCCCTTACGTGACCTTATTGTATTGCAATTGCCGTGAAACGCTTACTAAAACGAAACGAAATCCTTTTTTGTTACTCTCTTGTCTCTCCTTATCTTCAGCACTTATATGACCTTATTGTGTTGCAAGTGCCGTAAAAAACTTACTAAAACTAATCAGCCCGGGTTGGCCATGACAGGCAGAGTTTGAAGCTGGAAGCCGCCTCCTAAATTATCAAAATTGTCGAAACACCAATATTATGAAAATAGGACAATGGCTTAAAAATACATGCAGTGTTTACATACAACTGAACAGGACTGCCCAGGATATGATAGATAATAATGGACTTCAAGTGGGATGGGATTGATTTTTTTTTTGATTTTTTTTTCCCTATAAACACTACAGGAGAAGCTATTTAGACCAACCGAGGAAGTCAACAGGATGCCCCTAGATGTGGGTGGTTGGCGAATGCTCTAGTGCGGTTTGCTCCTACTTTCCTATCAAACTTCTATCGTCCTTATCTCCCCTCCTTCTTTTTTGTTTGTTACTCTCTTGTAACACTTAATCTTCAGCACTTATGTGACCTTAATGTGTTTCAAGTGCCACAAAACTCTTACTAAAACTAACGCACAACAGGAGGAGCTGTTTGGACCAACAGAGTAACTGAAAAGGACCTCCGGGTGTTGGGAGAGGTAGATAGCCTACTGCCTAGTGGGATGCGATTGAGAATTTATCTTTGTTTTTTCTTTTTCCCAGGTGCTAACCAAAACTCCCCAGATGTGGGTGGGTGGCGGATGCTCTGGTGCGGTTTGCTCCTTCTTTCCTATCAAACATGTTACTCTCTTGTAACACCTCTAATCTTCGGCACTTATATAATCTTACTTAATGTGTTGCGAGTGCAGTAAAACTCTTACTAAAACTAAACTCTCTTGTAGCACCTCTAATCTTCGGCACTTATATGACCTTAATGTGTTGCAAGTGCCATTCAACTCTTTACTAAAACTACTCAACTCCCCAGATCCTGACCAAAACTGAGTCGATAGTACCATAAAACACCTACTCAACCAATCGATCAGCCCATCAGCTAGTCAGCCAATCAATCAATCAATCAGTCAACCAATAAATCAATCAATCTATCAACCTGTGTGTCTAATCGACCAATCAATGAATCCATCTCCAGGTGCAGGTCATCCCGTGGGTGTTGGCGGACAGTAACCATGTGTTCCAGCCCTCGCAGCGTCTGGAGTCGAACAAGACAGTGTTTGTCGGGGCCCTGCACGGGATGATCACGGCCGAGGCTCTGGGCCGAATCATGAGCGACCTGTTTGGGAACGTCGTCTACGCAGGCATCGACACGGATAAACACAAGTACCCCATTGGTAAAACACAATAGTTTTTTTGTTTTTTTAAAAATTGTATACAGCAAATGCTGTAAAATTTTTGTTAAAGCTGAAAAGGGAATAAAGATCCTTGCTTTAAGGGGAACCCGTGATTTTGCCGATTTTGGGTGAGGCTATGCACCTTGAGATATTAGCTAATTTTTGAAGATCAACCTGTTCTTTGTCTAAAAATAGCATGGAGACAATTGAGTCTTTATTCTCCTCGTAAATTGCCATTGAAATTTGGTGGAATTTTCACAATAATTGTTGTTTTTGGCAAAATGTCATTTTTTTGCTATTTTTTCCCTATTCCTTTCTTTGTTTTCATCCTTTTGACACGAAACTTTCAGGAAAAATAGATGGCTTTGCCATCAATGTAACAGATATTTGCGGAAAAAAACCTTTTCTACTAACAAGCGATTACGCAACCTGAATTTAGAAAAGTTATTTTATACTTTTGGAAAATTCTCATATTTTTTAACTTTTGCACGTATTGAAAATAAAACTCACTGTTACGCTGATAGGGTCAGGTTCAGGTATACTCTCACCATATTTGGTCAAATAGGGTCAGTAAATAAGAAAGCCTTAAGGATTTGATATTCATTGTTTATTTTCGAGATAGCGGCCGTTTCCATAGCAACCGCTGTAATTATGCCAAAATAAAATTGCTTATCAAGAGATTATACTATTCCTAACTTATATATGTGTGTACTTAGATTTCATCTCAGGCAACAAACATAGAGGCAACAAACATAGAAAATGGTCCTCTAGGGTCGCTCCTCCCGTTAATGGAAGAAACTGAATTGTATAGAAAAAACAATCTACTGACAGAATATATACTGAGCCAGAACAACATACGGGGAACTGCTGCTTCTTCTTTCCTCATCCTTACTATCGTCATTTGTCACTCTCTTGTGAACTGCTATTTCCGCGGGGCCTTGATAGTCGAAGCAGACTTTGTGCTGTTGAAGGTAGAGAGGTGAGCAGAGTAAGCCTGATGTCCCGTTTGCACTTCTGTTGCCATCCAGCCCTTATCACTCATACGACTTAATGCAGTTACTAAAACAAACTTTTAGTCATTAATGACCAAAACTGTGGATAGTGCGGTAAAACACCCACTGAATCAAACATGAAAATCAGTAAGTTGTTACAAATATGAATGGTAGGAACATTTTTATGGTGCTCACATTACCAAATTGTGTCGATGATGCTGCAAAATATAATGTACTCAAACATTGTTTGTTGGTGGTTGGTGGGTGCTCTGGTGTGGTTTGTTCCTTCTTTCCTATAAAAAAAATGTATCTTCTTTATCTCCCCTTCTATTTTGTGTTTTTTACTCTTTAGTAACACTTCAAATCTTCGGCACTTATATGACCTACATGTAATTGTGTTGCTATTGCCGTAAAACTCTTACTAAAACTAAAACTAAACTTTGTTCATTATATTTCAGGCTCTGGCCGTGTTACATTCAGCAGTCGCAAAAGCTACATGAAAGCCGTGCAAGCTGCATTTGTGGAAATCAAGACGCCCAAGTTTACAAAAAAGGTATCAGATGGATCCAACTTTTAAAAAAAAATTATTTCTTTTCCCCTTTGGGGTCTTAAGAGGGTGGCACAGTCAGGTACTACTTCTGTACTCTCTCTCTTTTGTTTCTCATTTTCTCATTCTAAATTTTGTAGGGTTTTTTTTTGCTTTTTTCCCCAGCAGGTGGTTAGCGGGTGCACTTGTGTGGTTTGCTCCTTCTTTCCTCTCAAACATCTATTGTCCTCCTGTTTTCCCTGTGTTACTCTCTTGTACTTACTTTACTTTACTTTTCCAATCCAGCAGCCATTTGAGTTCTAGCACTTCGGCCTGTACTCTCTTGTAACTCTGACACTTAAATGACCTTATTGTGTTGCAAGTGCCACAAAATGCTCACTAAAACACACTCTTCACCAAATAAGGGCCACAAGTCTTCCCATCGCCTATCCATCTTCTTGGATGTTGTATGCCTCCCAGCTTGGGCTGCTCTGAATTGTGTTGTTGATAGGGGATTCGAACATCTATAATTTTTTTTTTTCAGCCTGATAGGCATTGTTGAAGCCTTCAATGGTCTATAACCAAAACTGAGTCGATAGTGATGTAAAACACCTACTCAAGCAAAAGACAAACATCCAATGGTCTAGATTGTTGCAATCAACTGGAATTTTTTTTCGCCTCTCCCCCCTTCCATACTAAAACATTACTCAAACTCTCCCTCTCTCTCTCCCTTCCATCAGCTGCAAGTGGACCCATATCTCGGCGATGCCATCTGCAGCTTGTGTAACTCGCACCAGGGCAACTATTTCTGCCGGGACCTGCTCTGTTTCAAGTACCTTTGTCGCTCCTGCTGGTACTGGCAGCACGCCCCGGACTCGATGAGACAGCACCGGCCACTCACACGCAACACCAAGTCATCTCTGTCTCTCTAGGCTGCTCACACGTAATATAAAGTCCTCTGTCTCTCTAGGCAGCTCACATGTGACTCAAAGTCCTCTAGGCCGCTCACACGCAACACTAAGTCCTCTGTCTCTCTAGGCCGCTCACACGTAACACAAAGTCCTCGCTGTCTCTCAAACCACTCACTCACAATACAAAGTCTTATCTGTCTCTCTAACCGGTCCCACATAACACAAAGTCCTCGCTGTCTCTGTAATTGCTCACACAAAACGCAGTCTTCTAGGTGGCTCACACACTCCACCAATTCCTGTCTCTTAGTGCTCACAAACTCACAGGTCTTCCCTGTCTCTGTTGGAAGTGATGGGAAAACGCAGGGTTTTGCATCTTCCTTCCTATAAAGCATCTAGTGTCCCCACCATCTCTCCTTCTTTTTTGTTTGTTACTCTCTTGAAACACCTCATCTTTGGCACTTATATGACCTTATTGTGTTGCAAGTGCCTGAAAAATCTTACTAAAACAGTGGCCTTTGATGAAATGATGTGAAAATGAGTGACTTGTAATGAAGAAAGTGCGATGTGTGTGTGTGTGACAAATGTTGTGTGGAAATCAAACTGCCTTGAGTTTTCCTACCCGTGGCTACTGAAATTGTTGTAATGAAATCGCTTTATACTTTGTGGCGACGCAATTATTTTGACCCATTGTTGTTAATGAGCATCTATACAATTGACACGGCGATGCCTTCTTTTGTTGCTATTATTTCGACTACTCGGGGCCTTACACAAAACAAAAAGTTTGGCTGGCCTTGATATAGGGTTAATTCGGCAGATTTGATTTCACCGATGTTAGTCCGTTTCTGCATTATTCTTCAAAATGAATCGAATTTTTCATGTTTTATCACTCAGACATGCAGTGGTGTGAAACGGTAACGGGGTCAGGAGTTCACATTTTTCTTTGCGGTCCTTTTTTTTCCACCTTTGTTTTGTGAGTGCCTTGACTTTGGAATTGGATGGACCAAATTTTTTTTTTTTCAGTTCTTGTCTAAAGTGAAGGCATGGTACCGTGTGAGAATCAATTAATTTTGTTGAGAAGTTTTTATAGATTTTCAGTATCAACAAAACTCTTTGGAACATCTTAGCTTGTGGATAATTATAATTTTTTTTTTAATTTGTGCTGCATGACAATCTTTTACATACACTTTATCTAGAAACTTTTCTATCTCTAAGGGTTTCAGTGCGGATGCGAATGTACTATTGTTTTCAGCTTATCAAACTGAAAATTTTTTATTTCCATTTTTCGTTTAAGGAACAAATATTTCCTATATATAGTTCTTGGAAGAATTGATGTAAATGCCTGTATGTGTGAAGTCCTTTTCATGACCTAGAAATTTGTTCCGTGCTTTTCTCTCAGAGCATTTGTTCTTTCCTTTGGGTGTTTGTCTCAGTCGTAAAAGTGGTCTGATTTTTAAGAAAAATTTTTCTTCAAGACCTGTGTGTGTGGGTGTGTGAGTTGGAAGTTGTGTTACAAATGTTATTGGAAGTCAACTCACTCACTGCTGTTTATGTTTTACATTAACATTTACCTCGCTAACAGCCCATGTCATGTGGCATTTGGAGTGGGGGTGGGGGGTGAAAAGAGTGGGAGGGGAAGGAGGAGGATGAAGGGGGACAATTTGGTTAAGCTCAGATCGACTGCTCCATCTAAGACTCCGCCTTTTGCCATTGTGAAAAGATAACGGATGACGGAAGTTGAGATGTAGACAATATTGTTTTATGGCGCCTTTTTAAATCATTAGCTGTCTGCATAAGTGGCATATCTGGCTTTTGTTTCGTTTGGTGGTCTCATCACCTCCTCATTGTTTGTATTATTGCCACTTGTTGCACACCGGACATTTTGTGGTGTAGCAATTTCTCTTTGCCATTGCAGACAGCAAATGCGAGAAATGGGGAAACTTTTTTTCAAAAATGTTTTTGTCTCTGGTGGAGTGTTGTATCCCAGTGAGACTCGAGTTGACCCTGATGGGCAGCCGGCCTCCTTAATAATTTAAATTTTGTTGACGGGGGTTCAATGCAGTTGTTATGTATAACATATCCTTGTTGTAGGTTTTGTTTATTTGGGCCAATTTAAGAAAAAGTTTTCCTATTTGTTTTTTGTCAGCATTTTGTTGCTGGCTGGGGTATACGGAGCAGGTGCCTGATATAGTCTATAGTTTTTGTCTCTTTTTCTGTGTAATACGGGGTCTGCATCCGTGCCCCCCCTTCCCCTCCCAGAGTACATGATACATGATGCCTGCTAAGATATGATGCTTCCATTTAAATTTAAATCAAACTTTATTAATCTTTCTGTAATTCTTTGGGGTGTTTTTAAGTTTTGTTTTTTGTCTACTACTAACACCTCACCACTAACTGCTCACTTCATTTTGCGTTTGAATCGGCACATTTCCGTCTTCAGTTTACTCTCTCACTTTTTGTATTGGTCAGTATTGTTGGCTACTCTTTGTTACGTGACACTGGCCAGAGTTGTACATTTTCTGTGCTCTCTAACTTCGTTCATTGGTCAATGTTGTTCCGAGTAATGCACTCTTGTTTATTGATCAATATTTTCATGTAGATCTATACTTTCTTACGCTGGTCTAAACATTTTTGCATTTTAAAAAATGTTTGACTGATTTTTTAAATTTCCTCTTGAGTGTTGTTTTTTTGTTTTTGTTTTGTTGATTCCATTTGTGTTGATTCCATTTGTGTTGCTTTTCCTTTGTGTTTATTCTACTTGCGCGTTGCTCTGAGAGAAAAAAGTCATTTACGAACATTTTGTGCAGTTTTGTTTGTCTGGAGTACAGCAATGTGCTGTATTTGAATTCCAGACACTGAAAATGTTTCTATGTGAACTTATTCTTTTTAAAATAATTTCTAATTGTTTTCTATCCGCTTCGAGCATTTAATTTATACTCTATGAAAGACAAATATGCTTAGCTGTGCCAGGTGTGGACAATATCGCTTTACAAGAAATTTTACCCTTCTTAAAATTTGTTAATCTTTGGTTGTCAAATTTCGAGCAATTTTTGGTTATAGCTTAGGATATTGTGTTCTGAAAGCGTCTTCAACACTTGTAAACAGACTTTAGAGTAAGCTTGTATACCTTCGTTTAAAAGATTTTGTAACAGGTAGGTGAAATATGGAGGAAAAACCACCCTTGGGGTCTTCAGAAGGACTGTGGGATTCCTCTGTTTTATACATTCCTCCCTCCTCATCACGATTTTTAGAATTCTTTCATACTGCTGGAAACGGGAGACTGTAACTGTAAATGTATTTTTATGTACTTTTACGATCTGCGTTGGGTTATCAGTCTTAGAGGAGCAAGTTTGTTGTAGAATAGGTACTACATTTTTAGTATTGCATGATACTTTTTTGTTGGTCTTTGATGGCGATTTTTAACACCCAGGCCAATATATTTAACTCTATTTTAATATTTGTTTATCAGTTGCTGTCCTTCACCTTTCTTTGGTACCGGTAATGTTGAATATTTTTTTTTGAAGGGGTGGGATGGAATGGTGTTATTTTTTTCCAGGATGGGATTTTTTATTTCTTTTCTTCGATGGGATTTTTGTTTGTTCGTTCTTTTTCTTAAATCGTGCTCAATACTGCAGGGTAATTTTGAACAACTAATTTGATCATGATTGGGAAAGTTATAGATATACGCTAAAGAAGGATGCCCAAGGTATCTATGGGTATTGTCAAAAATATTGACAAATTATTTTCCCAGAGTGCTGCCCATCTTAAAGTGCAAATTTTTTTTCTGTTTGGGGTTAGATTTTTTTTTTGTGGGGAGGGGAGGGAGAGGGAGGGTTTAGAGGTTGCACTATGTGCAGTTGTATTTTTCTTTTGCTCAGTAAACTGTCAGTTACTTCATTTTGTTGTATAATGTTGAGATAAAGCCACAGCCACGAACATGCTCTCGTTTCCCGTGCACGGTGCGCGGTTTGTGGGAGTTTCTTCGGTGGTGGTATTGTGGTGGTATCCGTTGTGTGGCAAAGTAGCCGGGTCTTTAGATTTTACAGCCTGTTCAGCCTGTGTCAATGCTTCATGTTTCCCACGGAAGCAAATTGAATTTGCGTTCGTATCTCTCACATTGTGTTAACATGAAGTGATGACGAGTCGGAATAAGATGGTGAGTCGTGTTCTCTTGAAATGAGATTTTTTTTTTGACTTGTCTTTGCAACCGACATCATTAAAATGTTTTACTTGGTTTTGTTGTACCCCTCCCAACCCAACTGCCCACCCCCACCCAAGATTTGATCACTTTGCAACCGACACGATTGGGATGTTTTACCTCTTGCAAATTTTTTGTTCAGACTTGTTCTCTTATTTGCAACTGACATGATTGAAATGTTTTACCTGGCGTGGACTTTTGTTTAAGGTTACCGCATGATGCTGGGGTAGTTCTCTTCAGATCATGTTGTTCCCAAACATCTCGCAGGCCAAGAATCTAAAGTTCCGTCAAATTTTGTTTTTGATCTTGATGGAACTTTTTTGACTTTTGACTTGCAATTTGATTTCCATTTTTCTGCTTTGGCGTTGAGCCTGTTAACATTGAAAGTTGTTTACTCTTCTTTGTGAGTTATTTTCCTTTTCGAAGTTGCTTTCTTTTTGAAGTTAGTTTACTTTTTGAGTTAACGTTGATGTTGGAACCAAGTGTTCCTTAGTGTTAATTTTCCGTTTCCATTCTATATTCTTCTGCAGATATAACAGATACATTTGTAGTCAACTTTGGCTAAGTGGTTTGATGTTTCAATGGCCATGCTGTTTCCTATCCCGGACACTGCTGTTCAGGGGAAATCTGTGATGTATGCGTTCCTGTGATCTCACTTCTGTACTGTATACGACTGATGTATTTGATCGTACTTCTCTACTAGTGTATACAGCTGATGTTATATGACCTTATTGTGTTGCTTGTGCCGTAAGACACTTACTAAAACTATACAGCGGATGTATGTGTTCCTGTGATCTCACTTGTCTACTGTATGCAGTTGCCTATGGACCTAGTTATATGTTTTTTATTGAGTGCAATGTGCGTTTGTGTGTTCTACTCCTCGCACTCTAGTAGAGATTGACCGTTGGTGGTTGGTGGGGCTTGCTCCTTCTTTCCTATCAAACATCTATTGTCGTTATCTCCCGTCCTTCTATTTTGTGTTTGGTATTCTCTTGTAACGCCTCTATTCTTTGTCACTCATATGACCTTATTGTGTTGCAAGCGCCGTAAAAACACTTACTAAAACTAAAGAGATTGACTGCTCAGTGTAAAACTCCGCCATACGTCAGTTTAAAAAAAAGGAGTATGGCTGAGTTTTACTTTAAGCAGTTGAGATATTTATGGTGCAATCAAATTCGCAAAGTTTTTTTGTTTTTGTTTTTAATTGAACACACCAGTGGATGTGACCAATTTAACTCTTACATTCCTTTACTTCATTTATTTTTTTCTTTTGTTTCTGGATTTTTATTCTCCTTCCAGATGGATGATTTTGTGAAGGTGTATGGTCCATGCACCCAGTTGTTCTATTACATGTACCAACTATGCAATGACCTGTAATGTGTATAATACGGTGATGCGGATGGTTGGAGAGCACCATTGATACATCGGTCGCTAGTCCGTACCTTTTCCTCTGTTGTTTGTCAAGTCTTTTTTTTTCCACTGTGCCCAATGACTGTTATTGCCTCGATGTGTGTGGGTGGTTGGCGGGTGCTCTGGTGTGGTTTGCTTCTTCTTTCCTATCAAAGATCTATCGTCCTGATCTCTCTTCCTTTTTTGTTTGTTACTCTCTTGTAACACCTCTAATCTTCGGCACTTATATGACGTTATTGTGTTGCGAGTGCCGTAAAACTCTTACTAAAACAAACAACCTCGATGTGAGTCTCTTTATACTTACTTACTTTACTTTTTCATCCTCTGTTGCCGTTAAGCGTCGAGAGGAGATGCAGTTTTCTGTGCTAGGCCAGCTCCGCAGCTCTTTCAGTTTGTTTTCTTAGGGTTTCCTTGACTCCCTCTTTATTAAAACTTGAAAATATGTATGGTGGTTTAGTAACTGTTTTTGTCCCAAGTGCCTTTACCGTAACAACTGATCGCGCATATCACCTGACCAAAGAGGGAGTGTACAGTAGAATTGTAAATGGGCTGATTTATCAATGTAACGCTCATACTGTGCCGCAACAACGTTGGGGGAACTGCTGCTTTTTCTTTCCTCATTCTTACTTTCGTCATTTTTCCTCTACTTCTTTTGTATGTTTGTCACACTCTTGTGAACTGCTGTTTCTGGGGTGCCTTGATAGTCAAAGAAGACTTTGTTCTGTTGAGGCTGGAGAGGTGAACAGGGTAAGCCTGACTCC